GGTTAATGTCCAGATACGTGGACCGTCATGGCGGCACTTCCTGTTTCAGCCTCGAAACCAGACGGTTTGCAGACGTGTCACGTGACGCACCGACGCACGTTCTAACCTAACCTAACCTATTCTAATAAATTAGCATAATTATTACCAATTATATTATTAGAATAGGTTAGGTTAGATTAGAACGTGCGTCCCCACTGTGTCCTTTTCTTTGCTGGGATCAGCGATGAGGCGCCATGACAGCCGCCGACGTTCGCTCGCGTCGTCACGTGACACATCGTCTGCAAACCGTCTGGTTTCGAGGCTGAAACAGGAAGTGCCGCCATGACGGTCCACGTATCTGGACATTAACCAAAGATATGAAATAAATTATTTAAAAAAATGTGCAAACATCTGTATTTCTCAGATTCACAACTGTATATCTACTTATCCTTCCCTGTATATACATAAACAATGCTTAAAAATATAGTATATACAATTAAGAAATATATATATTATCGATTCTGCTGTCACTCTGGGCAAAGGTCAATAAACAGTGCTTACATCTAATGCAATAAAACTGCTAAATCGGTTCTTCTATCCAGATAACTTCGAACATGTAGAGTTATCACCCAACCCATGTGACTAATAATCGTTCCAGCTGAAGGAGGGTTGCCAGTCTGCAATAAGAAATAAAATTATTAATAAATATCAAGTTCCAGATTTTTCAAAAATATTTAGAAATACTGTATCTATAAATAATTCTTAATTTTTTAAAATACCTCGTAACAACCAGGGAAAATCTTTTTAATGATATTTTAAAAGATGTTACGTCCATTTTAATAATTTTAAAAAATTTGCATATTATATGCATATTTGTTGTGAATTGTTTTGAAAATTATTGGAAAAATGTAACTTTCATGTTATTGTTATAATTTTAATGTATGCATACAGACTGAGCATAATTTAAAAATTTACCTATTCAAAATCACCTGCAGAGGTGTCTACTGATCAAAATTCCACCAAAATTAATTGCAATATTCTTTCATAACATATGGAAGCAATTTCCACAAAAAAGTTCCAAAAATCATCAATGGAATTTGGTGATGTGAGGCTAACAGTATAAGAAGGCAATTGTAAAACATACAAACCAGAAATATAAATAAAAAATGGGACTGATAAGTTTAATGTACTGTACTACTCACTCACAAGTACTACACTATATAACACTTTACATTGTAGCATTCACTAATTAGAAAAGGTACACAAGATACAATATTTGGTACATTTGAATAGAGTATCTAATAAACAGTGTCTTATTGGCAGAATGCAATTGATCATTCAAGGTCTTTTCAAAAACTGTATTATTCTGACTTTTAAGGCTGTCAAATTGGAAATGAAGTCTTGAAAAATAATCTTTAAAGTTATTGGGGATACTTCAAAAGCATTAAGATCAGGATTAAAAGAGAACTGTGTTATTGGAAATGAGTAAGTAATCATTGTCATCAATAAAATTTACACCAGCTATTGTGTGGACCATCCCATAAAAAAATGCTGCATTTCCTTATATTGAAGCCAAGCAGTCATTCTTCTGAATGTATATGGTGTTGGCAGACTTCTTTAAATTAGTTACATCTTAAAAATTCTCATCACAATTCAGCATTAGTACTTGTTTGGTGAGGTTTTCAGCATTACTATCATTTTGAGAATGCAGCACTGCAAGTAAAGCACATTCATGTAAGAGCTATTGCATTTTCACTATCAAGTATGGCATTAAATGTCTTTTTCTTTATACTTATCAATTATTTGCAGAAGTTTTAAGTATTATATTTTTTCTCTGCTCACAATACCAAATTGCTGTGGTGGTGACTTACGGAACTTTTTTTTCTCTGAAAATCACTTCTGCATGCTCCAAAGAGTATTCCTATTAATTTTGTTTAATTAAAAGTTTTTATAACTAGATAACTCAGCAGATGACTCTAAATAGGAATACTTTAATTATCATCACTTTTTAAGCTAAAACTATATTGATTTTAGTAATGAATACTTGTTAGATTTTATGNGCGGGACTGTATTAAAAAACTTCCCAAAGCTTCATGTCAATCGTACTATGCCAGAAACCTTCGTGGGAGTATATTAAACAACTTCCCAAAGTTTCATGGCAATCGGATAAACAGTGTGGTAATGCATGAAGGACAGACACACAGACATACATTTATTTTTATATATATAGATAACTGTTCATCACAACATATGCAGCAGTAAACAACATTTATGTATTATTCTGAGAGTAATGAGTAACAAATGCTTTTGAAAAACAGTATTCATTATTTCATACAAGTACAGAAGTAATAGATATTACTGTCTGAAGATGATATAGAAATAATAGTCAGATAATATGTATTATACATTGATATATAATTAAATAAAAAATATGAAAATTACAAAGAAAAATAATAAAATAAAGTTTTATTGAATTTAATTTTATACTTATATGTTTATACATATATTTTTTGTTTTACAGGGGCAAAAATTTGTAGAAGAAAATGTGGTTTTAGTTACGGGCTTTGCTGGTGGCTTCCTTCTTGGTTTAGCATCTGCCTGATATAATGACTTTTAAGTAGTATAATGAGGAAAGAATATATTTTGTTTTCTGAAAAGTAGATAAATATAAATTTCAAAAATTTTAATAGAATAAATTTATTGTAGAAGTTGAATAATAAACTGCAAAGTTTTCCAAAATTTAAGTTATAAATTTTTGAAATTACATGTACTTGGAAAAAATTTTTTATAAAAGAAATTTAAAATAATTTTTTTTTTCCTGATAAGAGAGACGTTTTTGTATTTAAAATTTATTGGAGAATTAGGATACATCCTATAAGCCAAATATATTTTGATTACCATACAATGGTGCATCACATTTTTTATTTCAATTTTTTTGGGAAAAATTTTTATAATGTAAAATGTATTTCATATTAAAGAAAGTATTTTATTTTCAATAATTTGATAATTAGAATTAAGAATTCACTGATATATCTGCACAGTAGATAATAAATATATGTAATGTATGATCAAATGAAAAGGGGACAAGATATTTAGCAACCACCACAAGGGGTGGAAAATGGTTATTTTGTTAATATCTGTGTTGCTATTGAGTTTATGATGATGATGATAAACTTCAAGATAAGATTCTCTACAAAAAATGGTTGTTACCAAATTTTTGATACAAGCAATTTCTGCTCAATCAGATGCTGGCTGTCCACTTAGTGCAATCTTGTCACATCACCTGATGATTCATAGAGCAAGACAATTGTTGCCATACTTTGTGCAGAATGGAAGGTAATTTGCAATGAATTATGGGAATTTTTTAAATTGCAATAAAACTTAGTTTTATATTTTTGGAAATACAATTGGAATTATGGATGCAGCATGCTGATTGGCACTGGCAGACATGCAAAATATATATTGTCCCAGTACTCTTATCATCATCAGTGTGACTTTTGAGGCAATTGAATCGCCTTCAGTTCAAGTACTAATTGGAGAGCCAGCATAAAGTTGAAACTGTAAATCACCACATTCATGCAGATATTAAAGGAGTAAAGTACAGGTACTGGTACCAGTATCTATACTATTATTAGAGGTGTGTATTAAAATTAGGAATGAAAAGAATGCTCCATCGTTGTTCTTGAACAAATTCATAAGAATAGGTCTGTTGAAAATAATCCAGTGGCTTTCTTCTGTCTCTTGGATTTTGTCGTCTTTGTTGATAATTTCTTTCTCTGACATTTCTTTTATGGGTGCAAGATTGTCTTATATTCAAGTAAATACAGTATGTAGAAATTCATAAATGTAAAAAAAAGTTTTGAATATTTAATGTTTTACAAAGGCTTTCTGTGAAATAAAAAAAATTATAATACAAAAATGTAAATACCATATTTACTCAAATATAAGACAATCTCACATATAGGACGAAGTGTGACTTTAAAGATCAAAATAAAGAAAATTAGATTTATTAATACAACTCTAACTTTATTTTGTTTAATAACAAATAAAATATCAAATGCATGTAAATGCTCACATTGTCTCACAAAATTACTGGCATTTTAAACTTCAAGGAAAAATCTTGTAAAATTGACAACATAATTTGTTCATGTAAAGCTGGACAATTGGGAACCTTTTTTGCCAATTCTTAACAGTCAAATTCACACTTCATGGATTACACTTATAAGTTTCTCCGAATTTCCAAATAATCATCTGTTTTCACATGGAAATGAGTTAAAACTTATATTGGGCTCCCATGTAATTTTGGAATTCAATTCAAAAGCTTTGCTTTTCTTATTGTTATTCATCTTTACTCCTGACAATACACAAGAACGATTCAAATGACCCAGATAAAATACTTTTGTTTTTAAACACCAGAAGGAGAGAATCTAGTAAAATATGCAAATATGTAGTTTATAAAAATTATACAAAAACAAAAAGAATCCTTCGCTTGCGCATTTGAAGCAGTAAAAAATGGACAAAAACCTTGTCTTATATGCGAGTAAATATGGTAATTTTAAAGATGTTAATCCTAAAACAGATTATATTAAAACTTTTATAATGAAACTTATGCAAAACTGAAGTAAGCCATATAAAACCTAAGATTGTTTTAATGCAATTTTTCACTTTAGCTTTAAAAATTTTTATCAAATCAAAGATGAAAAATGATCTAATCCATCTTCATCACATTGAACATTTTGGTTGCATCAAACAAATCAAATCTAAGCATAAACAGAATATATTTTTTAATAATCATCACTTTATATCCATTGAATGTTTTGTATACATAATGCTTAAAATGTTTCAAAAATTTTTATAGTTAATAATTTACTGTACAATAATAAACTTTATAGAGCTTGAGCGTAATTTGTAACAACTAGACGATGATGACGACGATAAAAGATGACAGTTTACTTTTTAAATGTCTGAACTTTATTTAATAAATTACTTAAAATCAATGTGAACTTAATTTAAAACCTTTAAAAGTAATTTAAATAACTATGTTTTTAATGCGTATTATTTACTTGACTGACAAAGAAATGAAAATTTTGTTACATTTGAAATTATTTAGATAAACTGAATTTGTCCATCACTTTTTAAATACAACCTTTACTACAGTATATATAAAAAATTTTATGTAAAATTAATTTTTATGCATTTTATGTATTATTAGTTTTTATTCATTTCTTTTAAGCTAACTTGTATTAAATAAGAATATTAATAGAAAGATTAGCTCTGTAAAATACAGTTTCTTATGCAATTACTGATAGTATAACATTTATTTTACAGATACAATGCTTTTCTGTACAGGATATAAACAAACCAAGAGGCCAAACAATTGCAGCACACCTATCGGCAAACTTGTTTATTACCTCTACTTTTAAGGGTGAAAATAATAGGCATCCATTGACTCTGGTAAAAGTTTACTTAGGTAGTCCGAATGGTGACCAGCATAGCTACTTACACCGGCATTTAAATAAAAAAAACTTTCATTCACCATTGACATATTTCTAATTCCTTGTCTCTTGATTCATTCAATAAAAAGCATGGTTCGGATAATTCTTTCATAACTTAGTCCTTTTCAATTGTAGAAACTTTTTCCGCATTCTTAACATATATCTACATTCTTCCTATTAAGATTATCAGGTTTTATTTGGTGCTTACCTTCAGGACTGAAGGTACAATATTTGGCTCTTTCCAAACTTACTCGTATGTTGAACAAACAGGTCGAAAAATATTGGGATTACTCCCAATATTTTTTCTTCTTGGAACTATATAACGAACGAAAACTGATTTTATAGTTAATATATTTAAATAAGTTGTCATTTCAGCGAGATCTGTGAAACTCCCACAAAATCAATGCCCTCTTTTTCTCGCAATTTTACAATCTTTATCAAACCATTCAAGACCAACTCTGCCTCTTATCCCAAATTTTCTTACTAATCCACATTGCCTAGCAGATTTTCAAATGAAAGTAATGATTAATGAATAAGTTCATTCAATATTGTCACAATTGTATTAATTATGCAGTATTTGTGAATCTTAGAGAAAAGTTTGTAATACTTTTAATCTAACATTGATTAAAATTTTTTTCAAATATTTTATTACTCTACGAATCTTTCACAAGTTCTCTCAAATTCAAGATTCTCTCAGTTTGAGGGCAAATGTTAACAAAACTGTTTAAAAAAAAAAAGATAAATAATACCATTTAAATTAAAATTATTTCTAATTTTAAGCTTTAAAGTGGATGAACAAAATCATTCCCCACACAAATATCCATACATACAGAAAATTCCCCAAATTTTCTCCACATTTCAAGATTCCAAGTCCAAAAATGTAAAAATTTTGGAGTCATTTTTGTAGGACCTTTCAAGATTTTTACATAGTTTGATATGCACAAAGTATGAGGATTAGGAGGAAAAAAAAACATTTGTAACTTTTTAATAAAAACTTTTAATTAAAACTAATGTGATTTCTACTTTTTTTTTTTATTAAATTTCATACTGTAATATACTAACATAATTGTTATAAATTTTTATGAAATAAATGCAACTATTCTTCATGATTAAATTGCATAGCTAAAGTTAAAGAATGGAATTAGGAGAATATGAAAGTATCTTATCTGTAATTTATAAATGAATTGCATATTTTTTAGTAATAATAGGAGCTAACTCAAAAATTAAAAATATTTAAATAATAAGTATCTTTAACATGTGCACAATGATTGTATTGCAAATGATTGAATAAACTAGTGTTACCCTCATAAATGCTTTAATTTATTTGTTCAAACTTCAAAATGTTTTTTCTTTTTGTGTCAATGGAAAGGACTTGAGATCCTGTGGTCCTCCTGTTGTCAGGAAAACTTCATGATGAATGACAGTTTTTTCTTACCCTATTTCTTTTAAAAATAATAAGATATTACTGATGGCTGGTAGTCTACCACTCTGGGGACAGAAATCTGGCCCACTTAATAACACAGCCATCTGGCTTTTGAATTGGCATATACCAAGCAAAATTGAAATGTTATACTTTAACAAATCATTGTTCGATATTTTTTTAATCATTTATTATTAATCAGCAAACTTAATAATCATTCCAGGGATTGTAGTTCAGGTGAGTAACACCAGGAATTTCTTATGAATAGTGTGTCAAATGTGTGGAGTCTCATCCTTTACCATCAGGCCAAACTCAAATAGTATGGAATAAAAGCCCTCTTAGTGAAAAGTATAAAAGCCCTCATGGAGAGTTGAAAAATAAAAATAAATGTTCTAATAAATAAATTTGTATTTTTATAACAACATTTTGTAACAAATTTATTTTCAATATAACTAATAAAATCATACAATTTATATGTTTTTAAAAAATAATTTTTATTATCTAAAAAAAAATTCATAACATGATACTAAAACTAGAATCAAACCAGAGTAATATTATTAACTCAACACTTTTCAATATCGCCACCTTTTTCAACCCAATCCTGAAAGCTTCCAAGATAACATTTAACCCTAGGAATGATAAATTAAATATTTGTAAATATCATCTTGTCATTTTAATTAAAAAAAAAAACTATGCAAAGGTAATATAATTTGAATTTAATTTTATATTTTAATAATTTTAAAAAATTTGCATATTATATGCATATTTGTTGTGAATTGTTTTGAAAATTATTGGAAAAATGTAATTTTCATGTTATTGTTATAATTTTAATGTATGCATACAGACTGAGCATAATTTAAAAATTTACCTATTCAAAATCACCTGCAGAGGTGTCTACTGATCAAAATTCCACCAAAATTAATTGCAATATTCTTTCATAACATATGGAAGCAATTTCCACAAAAAAGTTCCAAAAATCATCAATGGAATTTGGTGATGTGAGGCTAACAGTATAAGAAGGCAATTGTAAAACATACAAACCAGAAATATAAATAAAAAATGGGACTGATAAGTTTAATGTACTGTACTACTCACTACAAGTACTACACTATATAACACTTTACATTGTAGCATTCACTAATTAGAAAAGGTACACAAGATACAATATTTGGTACATTTGAATAGAGTATCTAATAAACAGTGTCTTATTGGCAGAATGCAATTGATCATTCAAGGTCTTTTCAAAAACTGTATTATTCTGACTTTTAAGGCTGTCAAATTGGAAATGAAGTCTTGAAAAATAATCTTTAAAGTTATTGGGGATACTTCAAAAGCATTAAGATCAGGATTAAAAGAGAACTGTGTTATTGGAAATGAGTAAGTAATCATTGTCATCAATAAAATTTACACCAGCTATTGTGTGGACCATCCCATAAAAAAATGCTGCATTTCCTTATATTGAAGCCAAGCAGTCATTCTTCTGAATGTATATGGTGTTGGCAGACTTCTTTAAATTAGTTACATCTTAAAAATTCTCATCACAATTCAGCATTAGTACTTGTTTGGTGAGGTTTTCAGCATTACTATCATTTTGAGAATGCAGCACTGCAAGTAAAGCACATTCATGTAAGAGCTATTGCATTTTCACTATCAAGTATGGCATTAAATGTCTTTTTCTTTATACTTATCAATTATTTGCAGAAGTTTTAAGTATTATATTTTTTCTCTGCTCACAATACCAAATTGCTGTGGTGGTGACTTACGGAACTTTTTTTTCTCTGAAAATCACTTCTGCATGCTCCAAAGAGTATTCCTATTAATTTTGTTTAATTAAAAGTTTTTATAACTAGATAACTCAGCAGATGACTCTAAATAGGAATACTTTAATTATCATCACTTTTTAAGCTAAAACTATATTGATTTTAGTAATGAATACTTGTTAGATTTTATGATAAATTTATTGTATTTATGCAAAAATATTTTTTTTTATATTAATAAAAATTTTTAATGAAATGAAACTTTAAGATATTATAATTTTTAACTAAATAAATTATACTTGATTCTAATTAGAATTCATAAATTTTTGTCACTTTTATTTCATAATTTTGCATTAGTAAAAAAAAGGAACAGATGCAAACTTCAACATAATATACAGTGCAAGACAAAAGTTTAAG